TTTTTTTTTTTTTTTTTTTTTTTTTTTTTCCATTTCTCTTCGAAGCAGTGGCCAAGTAAAATTATTTTGTCTTAGACTTCTGATCTATTAAGCCTTTCTTCAGTCCTCACAAGAATTTGGGTTAGGAGGACTTAGAGGGGTCTTTTCAAGGCCGCAGACGGGAGTGTAAAGGCCACAGAAGAGAGGAGCAAATTACAAACGAGCAAGAAAATCGATGAAGTGGTCACGAATAATCGTCCTGCCATTTCTCTTAAATTGGATTCCGGTGAGGATATAGGTCCTGGTTCACCGACTACTTCAGTTCTGACAACGACAAAGAATAGACTAAAAAGAAATTAAATTTATTTTAAGTTCACTATGATTGAGTTCATTACCTCCTTGGCTGGCATGATTGGCTGAGTTCACAGACAGCTGCAGCCACTGCAACATAGCATTCCCTCTATGCCCTGAAGTTTCAACAAAAGGCTGCCTCAAAGACTCATAATGAGCGTCCGTCATGCTCATGGCGCGATAACGCAACTCGTCTTCATGGAGAACGTTCTCAAGGCATTTCTGTAAAGCTTGGTTTGCAGTTTCTAAGTGTTCCATTGTGTGGTCCATTAGCACATGAGCTTCGTAAAAAGCTCTTCTGATGTAACGGGGTACTGATTTCTCCTGTCAAACAAAGAGAAGCCGAAGTTCAAACGTTTGCTGAAATAAGGAGGACTCTATATGCTTATGACTATTTTAATAACCAAAATGAAAACTTTCCTACCATCCTGGTCTCTCTATAGAAAATACAGGAACATTCGGTGAGGAATCGAAACCGCTTTTTCACAGTTTTTCTGTCAGACAGGCTATCCCGACTTCTCCCAAAAAGCGGCGGGCCTGTTAAGCCTTCTAAATTCCATCGGTTGACAAACCACTTCCCGCAAGGTAGAACTAGAACATCATGCGCCAGTGAAGCAGGGTCCACGTTAAACAAGAGAAATGGTCGGTAATCACACAATAAACACTTCAAATTTTCAAATATGAAAGACTTCAAGGGTACAAAGGTTATTTCACTTATGGCGTTTCAGGAAATATTGATCTATTAAAAGATCTTTGTTGGAGGAAACGTTCAGCACAGCACTGTTAACAAACATAGCAAGCAAACAGGCTCCCGTGTAAACTTGGGTGAAAAGCACCCAATGTTCCTCTCCGGCAGATTAAGAGTGACAACTGGAATATAAAATGGTACCAAAACTGTTGCGGCAGTCTAACAAATCTTATCATAAACCAGTATCACATCAAGGAAGAAGCTACCTCACGCCGTGAAACCTGAGTAATCTGAATCGAGCTTTGGAGCCACCAGATCTTGAGCTAGAGCCACCCCGCTGCGACCTTCACTAGAATGGAGTTTACACTAAATGGCTTACCTAGCGTGTTTTCTTCCCACCACTCCCCTTTCCACTAAATTTACCAGTGTACCCTCACCTCGTGCATTTCGTGCTTCAATTGTGACAGACTGCATGCCTGCATAGTCTCGTTCTGACTCCTTCCCCCGACTCGAACAATTCCCTTAGGATGAAACTCATGGATTCCTTCCAGAAACTGATCGAGTGCGTGGTTTGTGTAACAGACAACCAGGATTGGGCGATGCTTTGTGCCATAGCGAAGGCCTCTCTCGGTGTCCCACTTCCCCTTGTTATGTAACAATACATTGGCAATCTGCAAAGAAACAAATTTCGTCCTTTGTTGCTGGCTAGTGCAGCGCTATAAAGACTTTTTAACAACATCATTTAATTCAAACAGGAATCTGTATTAGTGGTAGAGGTCCAAAGAAATAATATTACAGTCGAACCTCCACTAACGGCCATCTCTCTACAACGGCTAACGGCCATTCACTCTTCAGTACTCAGTATTCAATTTAACCACTTAACTACGGCCACCTCTCAGCAACGGCAACGGCCACTAAAGCGCGTCCCAACTGCCAAAATAACCCCTCGACAACGGCCAGTTAATCAACGATTGACCAACGGTGCATTGTAAAAGGTGACGAAAATTGCTTAATACTGCTTGATTTTTATTTTATCGATATGTTTTGATTGTGTTATGTATTAACATGCTACAGTAAGCATTTTTTTAAAGACTGATAAAAATGTTGCACCCACGAAAAATGCAAGTTTCATATCACACCGCTACCTCCCCATAACGGCCACCTCTCTACAACGACCACTTTTCTCTGTCCCCAAGGTCGCCGTTGTGAAGAGGTTCCACTGTTGTATGTCGGATTTAACGTCAACAATTGGCCTTGACAATATATTGTAGAACTTTTAAATTGTCTTTAAAATCAATCTAAACTGCTGTCGCTTTTATTCTACCTTCAATCCTATGTACGTCTTTCCAGTTCCCGGCGGTCCTTGAATGACCGTAAATTCTTTGGTCAGAGCCATTTGTAGAGCCTTGAACTGAGAGTCATCGAGACCCAGATCGTCCGCAGACGGCCAGGAGGCCAGCTTCAGGACTGGAACATTTGATGCTTCATGGAATATAAAGTGAAAGTGGTAAGCAACGAGACTGGAGAGTTTCAAAACAAAAACATCCGTTATATATGTTTATTTTAGTCAAAACTAAAATCTCGATCCAGCGCTATACTGATAAGAGCATATAGTATTAGTAGTCAAGTCCTGGGTTACCCGGTGACGTTACGTACTATAAAATCATGGGACGATAATCTCCAGCCGTTTGGATGACGAAAACAAGATGTTTGTCTGTCGCTTATTGTGTATTACTGGGATAATTATACAAATCATAATAATTTAGACTTACCCTGTCGAGACTTAACTCTCATGTTTAGGTCTGCAAGCCGTGACCTCACAGACTGGCGAGAACTGTTGAAGTAAGGCAACATTTCAGTATCAAATTAGATTATTTCACAAAATGACTGCCAGTTAAGGTTTATCTTTCAAACTCGCACGACAATCGTCCGCGAGTGGAACGATTTACCTGCAAACGTTGTAGAGGCTGGCAACCTGAATCTGTTTAAGAAAGCTCTGAAATCTTTTTCACGTAGTTATAATCTAAATTGTAAATTTTTAGCACTTATTTGTATTTGTGATGGAATCTTCAGCATTAGGTTTTTAATACATATCATATTTTAGGGAGGCTTTTTACATAGGGTCTACCTCTTTAAACTCCCTTTCAGGGTGCTTTTTGTATTTATTTTAGTTTTAACCCCTGAATAAAGTCCTGTGTGTATGTAGGTATATGTGGGTGCGTTCCTTTGGGGTGATCTGGATCAGGATCAGTGATCCAAGATCACTCGGATCATGGTGCATCAAAGGAACCGGTTCCTTTGGAACGCACCCTGCATGTATGTATGTTTTGCGCGGTAAACTTCTCTCATTCTTCTTCAGGCTATTCTTGCAAGGAAAAGGACTAACATCACAAGAGAACAAAAGAGATAATCAGTTCAGTAACCTCTATCAGCCATTAAATCTCATTTTCTAGTTTTAAAACCGAGGATCGCAGGATTGACAACAATTATAAGTTCGCTTAAACAGCACAGCAAGTCTTATCACTTATTTATTTGTCCTCATGAATGGCTACCACTTGAAAAAACGCGGACACATCATCTAACTTCATATCAATTGCAATTTACGGTAGATAATGAATGCCTGTGAAGGTAACAATAGGCAAAAATCGGAGGGCCTGCGACATTTTCTCTGATTTTTGCCTACGACACCTTCAGATAGTATCTCACCTTGTCTTCTTCATGATTGGCGTAAGATCAAAGGTCACTGGTCCTTGAGCCCTGTCATTCAAGTAGGAGGGTGGTTTAACTTCTTTCTGGCAATTTACGATGTAACTCTGTTTTTAAAAAAGGGGACAATACAGAGTAACTTAACATTGTCATCCCAAAAAGATCGGGACAAGAAGAATACCTTTCAAATAATTTGAAGGGATGCACAGCGTACGATGGTACGATGGTAAGCTTAGAAGTGAACTACACTAATGTGGAGATTTTGTTGTCCATCAATGCTCTGCAGAAAGGCTGGCATGACAACAAGTTACATACCACTGGTCTGAAGAAAACAAAAGTTCCGTTTCCGATAGCTAGCTAAGTACACCGGAGAACCACAGGAAAAGTGAACAATAGGTTTTTAAACCTTAGCAAGCCTCCAATTACCCAACTAGTCAGTTAAGTATAGCTTGAAATGGAAACACTCGTGTTGTTTTTAGCCTTCTCTTTCACTTGATTACATGATGCAAATAACAACCAAATAACTACATTTTAAGTGAAGAAATATGTACTTATAAAACGGGAGAAAGGTTGCCAAGGTCACCTGCAAAGGTAGGTCTGCGGGAGTAATTTCTTTGAGTCCCTCAAGCACATGACGATACGCTTCAAAGAAGGCAGTACTTTCCACCATCTGATATACGTCACCTTCTTCAAGTTCCATATGATCATATGAGCGGATGACCTGTATGTCCACTATACCCTAGACAAGAGCAATTGCCGGTTTTTAACACCTTTGTTACAGTACATAAAAGATAGAAAACGGTAGAGAATATTGTGCTTACGGGAGCGTGCCTTTCCCAAAAACAACGGACGCAATGCTCGAAGTCTTTCTACGCACGGCCATGACTATATTAAAAACTCATGAGTGATTGACATGGTTGAGTATTACCTCTATAAGACGTGTAAATCTGATCTCAAGTAATATTCACAAGTTGTATATTTAAGACAGAGAAGCCAACTACTGTCTTGTTAAAGGGAAAGTATTATGGGTTGCGCATGTGCGAGCTTTCGATCCAGAGTTTGAAAACGTCCGACGACGATTTCAATCTCAAGTGCGAAATTCAAAACGGCGTCGACAAGTGCAGACCACGTAGTGAATATACCTTGGCCAGTTGTGCTGTGTCAATCAATTTTTTCCAACGCGAACTCACTTCACCCCCTAATAATGAGGAATGCTTCTCATGAGCTTGATCTGTGCAATTAGTAATTGGGCTTCTTAGTCAACTTATCTGTCATTAATTTCTTTTTCCACTGATATTATCCATCGAGTCTCACCTTTCCACAAAAAATACCTACTCAGCGCATTCTCGAAACGTTAAAACCATAGCATGTTGATACAATGATCTCGCTTCAAACACCGTATATAAATACAGGAAAATCACATTCTTAGAATTTTTTTCACAGGGTTTGTGAAAACAATTCATCTTGGGATACAGTACTCACCGAGGTCATAGTCACCCCCGCCAGTGCTAAAAGTATTGTAGTCTTGTTGTTACCGATATTTGTTCTCTGTATTATGTTAATTTAACTTACTTGTCTTATGTTCCAAAGCTCCCGGTTGGCCACTGTAACAAACACAAAGCTATNCTTGTTGTTACCGATATTTGTTCTCTGTATTATGTTAATTTAACTTACTTGTCTTATGTTCCAAAGCTCCCGGTTGGCCACTGTAACAAACACAAAGCTATCAAAATTGTCCTTGGATAAGCACATCAACGAACCAAAGATGAGTCGTTTGCTGTTCTCCCAGCGTACATGCCTGAGTTTGGAGTTGTCAAACTTGATCCGGTAACGGAGACCGTTGGAAGTACATACAGGATACAACAACCGAACGTTATTGTACAGACGAATGTCCTGATGGGCCCCTATCGTACTGGAGCCTAAACGCTCCGGCAACTGTGCGATCCCTTCACGAAGGGGTCGCACGAAATCTTCACGAAGGAGTCGAAATTGTACGTCCAAATAATGTTCCGCGTCGTGGTAGCTCCCATCTATTTTGTTCCTTCTCAGGAAGGGTCGTTCTCCTGACAAGATGTCTTTCTGAGTTGGAACAACAGAGAGCCAGCGAAAATCTTCGGGAGGATTTGCATCATCGTTCACTCCAGCTAAAAAATGCAAATAGGTTTATCAGTGCATAAGTGAAAGTTCATTTAATCTATTGACAGACAAGAAATACAAACAAAGGGAATACTTCATAAACATTGTAATCTTACCATCTCTGCGAGGCTTCCTTCTTTTTTGCCGTTCTTCTTCTTCTTTTCTCTTTAACTCCTTGGCCTTTTGGATTCTCAGTTTCATTATTTCATCCACCTCCGTCACGAGGGCATCATCTGCTAACTGTCCTGTGTCAGATAGCATTCTTGTTCCGCAGTACAGATCGGATACCGGAAGATCAACATAACAGCTCGGGAATCTTTGGAGCAATTCATTCATTATTTTAACTACATTTCTCAAAAACACTACGAGATCAGCTAGAGACAAGCCGCTATTGGATAGCTTGTTGAGATATGGTCTCAGATGAGAATTAAGAAAAGACGACCCCGGTAGAAGGTTTAGTAGCTTTAACAGGTTTTCGCTACAGCCGCAGTCACAGGCTTTCGTGACAATGCTAACGATCAAGATAATCCAGTGATCTTCCATAACTGACTGCTGTTTTAATAAATACTCCGTGGCTGGGAAACATTGACTCGATGTTAAATGGAGGATAATTTCGTCAGAGGTTTTGGTCTCCAGGGCTTGCAGTTCCGTGAATCCTATATTAACCTCAAGCTGGTCTCTCGCCGTCCCGACGCGACCAAGATCCAATGTTCCACCTCCTCTTCTACCTCCTCTTCTACCTCCTCTTCCACCGGCTCTTCCACTGCCTCTTCCACCTCTCCTTCCATTGCCTTCTCCATATTCGCTTACACCTCCCCTTCCAATGCCTCTTCCAGTTCCTCTTCCTCTCTGGCCTCGCCTGCCGGACATTGGCAATACCTCTGAAACAAGATAGAGTCAGAATGCAATATATTGGTTGTAAAGTCCAGTACTCCTTTTTGAACAGAATCTAACCTTTGAAATCGAAAAACAAAATTTGAAAATGAACTACAATTATATCATTTTCATGTGTTTATGACCAAGAAACGATATTATTTAGCAGCCCACGAACATTCGTTTACATCAAACAAAACTCCAGAACATCAAACAAAACATCGTACTCCAGCCTGCATAAGGCGAAAGTGGCAAGAAATTGGCTTTCATTTCAGCACACGAGAGTCAACAGAACGCAAAAAGGTTTACAACCTCGTATCCAGTCACCACAATTCAGAGGCAACGCCACCAGGTTCAAATCAGCACACAAGAAAGATGTGTGTACTAAAAGCCTTGCCCTTGGACCTGACAAATCTCACGGAGTGTTTCAACACCGGAAGAATCTGGTTGCCAGGACACTCTGCCGAGTAGTCTTGTAATTGGTTTTCTTTTGCATGGGATGACGAGCACCTCTCATACGAGACTTGTATCCTTAAAGCAAACCAATTCAATTCGATAGGGTATGTAGCAGGGAGCGACCTTTCCAAGCGACAAGAAATCGCGACGAAAAGTAAAGATGGCAGTATGTCATTTTAAATTACTATGACTCACTACTTCATTTTCAGTAACATTTTCCAAGTAATTTGACATCATATCTTCCAGAAACGTGTTCAGTTTTGGTTATCCACATTCAATCACCCTCTTTCTAGCGAGTTCTCCGATTAAGGTTCTACATTAACAAGTTATTATTCGTGATTTCCATATTTCATTAGTTTTCAGCTTATTAGCCTGTGGTGATCGCATTCAACACCCAATGAAAACGATCTGAAAGATGTTCAGGACTAATATGGGCTTGTGATACGAGGTGAATATGTCACATTTGTCAAGGAAAACAGCAATATCGCTCCAAGAATGAACAATGCACCGTCTGTTCAGAAGTCCACAAATGACGGACTCCGGGCCGTGTAACATACTGTACTTTCGGTGTAAAGTGTGCGAACTTATCACAACACAAGCAGCTACAATGTGGAATACAATATTCGACAGTGGAATGACCAGTTTCTGCTGGCAACCATCCCATGTTCACAGTACGGAGGACGTTTTTGTTAACAATGGCTTCTACAAATCATCATATTAATATTCAATTAGCAAATTTCATTTCTTCTTGCTTTGATCTACGCAATATTCCACTTTCAAATCAAACCAATGTGACTTGATCGCTATATCATAACCTTATTCTATGTTCACGAAAATCATTACCGTTTTAGTTTTCGTAAAAAAGCTTTTGCAACACTAGCTGTATGCTTTTATTGTCATGCGACAGTTCGATGTACCGCCACAGCAACTTCATTGTCCTGAAGTGGCGACCAGTTATGTGAAACATTGTTTGCTTCTATTGAAATTTCCTTTTCTCCCTGACTACCCTAAACTCCCGGCAAGGTAAAGAGCTGAAAGGGCTATTTTGGAAAATAGTACAACTTCCCTTTAGGACAACGATATACAGTTGCAGTAACATAGATAACTTTAGTGATTACTGAGTTAATCGAATCGAAACATAACAGGTTTACCTCACAGGACCTCAATGTCCAAGTAAGCCAGATATCGGTCGCGATGTTACTTGCAATAACTTGTCGACAGCTCAGTCCTCAATCATCGTATACCAGTTGCGTAAGGACGTAAAAGTTTGATTTCGATCGCCAAAACGTTTGACTTTGCTGCGGCAATTATAAAATTCCTGAGATGTTTTAATTGATTTTGGCTGCGAGCCAATCAAATCACAAGCACGATTTCTTAGAAACAGATGCCTAATTCCCGGAAATCAGAGGCTTTAAAAAATAGGTAAGGCTTTAAGTTAAGTTATATATCTTTAATACAAAATACCTTCGTAATAAAGACAGCTCGTTCATTTTTCGCCAGTTTCAATTTGAACACAATGATAACAATATAGACCAGTTATGAATTAGAGAGGGAAAAGCCGCGACCCTTGAGAGAATGGATGTATGTTATCAAACTAAACGGCCCGAGAGAAACTCAGGAGGTGTTAATAACAATTTGTTTTTCAAAACAATACAAAGACAACAGGCTAATTATTTTGCATCCACGATTACTCTTAAAACAATAAGATCAAGAAATCAAAGCAAGTTTACCCAGTATCGGGAGCGCAGCCAAAATTCTCAGAAAGACTAGAATCATTTCCGGGAGGTTCCTGTGACGTCATAACAAAGCAAAACCTCGTAACCAGGTTCTTCTCGACTTTGCTTTCACCTTGGAAATCAGTGCAAATTAGAGTGTTTACCAATAATCTAGGTCAAATGGAAACGTAGCTTACATGATCTAAATTATATTATGGTTTCACCCTCGTATATCGACAGCATTTTACGTCTAACTACTTTCAAACTGGATCAAACTCTATCAGTAGAGGCAAAGCTTACTCACAGCGGATTAAGTAGCCGAGGGGATAAACTCCGCGATATACCTTGGTACCTCTCAGGGGTTCTTTTCAAAATTTCCGNTTGGTGAAGATGTCCGGGACTCTGAACAAATGCAGAGTTCGAATGTTTTTTCTATTTTCCTTTTTTTTGTTTTTTTTTTTTTTTTGTATTTTAGGATTCCCCACCCCCGGGCACTGTTCAGTACTCAGACAAAAGGCAAAATACGCAAAAAGCAAAAAGGCACGATTTTCAGTTGCTGGCATGAAAGGCTAGAGCAAAAACCACCAAAAGAAAAATGTGCGCGATTGGGCAAAATGCGAAATTTGCCAAAAGGGTAAAAATGGCAAATTGCACCTGCAATGGGCGCGATAATAGGAGCGCGAAATACATACAGCTCGATGTGTTACGCTGCTTGCGAAGTTTTGAATAGAGAGTAACTAATACATTCACTTCTCAGATATAAGAAAACTACATTAAACTAGCTACAAAATACTGCTCGTTCAAGAGGAAGAACTAAATAACGTGCGAATTACAGCAATTCTAAAGCTTATTATATAACTGAGAAAATAACTTCATTGTGATTGTCTGAAAGCAGGCCAATTTATCGTTAATTTTTAATTTGCACTGCAGTGCAAATTAACGCGCGCGCTTTCGTGATTTTCCCACTCATATAATAAATAAGTAATAGTACGAAAGCTCGAGCAATTAAGGATTTATACTACTCGTAATTATGGAAATTCTTTCAATTTGCACTCGCCCTAAGGCTCGTGCAATGTTGGGAGAATTTTCAAATATCACTCGTAGTGTAAATCCTTAATTGCCATCGCATTCATAAGATTACCTATGCACATTTTCTCCCGATTTTTGCTAACTTTGCTTTCAACATCGTGCTCGTGGCCCTTTTGTCCCCTAGCGTGTGCTCACCTTACTTGCATTACGGGATGGCCTTTACCTCCCCTGGGCTTTTCAAGGTACTATTCTTTGTGCATGATCAAACATACGAATAAATTCCAGTTGCCATGCGTCTGTTCAGTGATTGATCAAAGATGACGTCAAAATGTAGTAAGAACTGGTACATAGCACATGAGTTAATGATATCATCCATGCATCTGTTCTCCAATTGATCATAAGAACCAATCAAAATGCGAGAATAATTCGACATGTTATATATCTATCGGCTGTTATCGGCGGTTTTCGGCGGTTTTCGGCGGTTTTCGGGCCCCAGATTAAAATTCAAAATGGCCGCCACGTTACAAAATATATATTTCATTCGTCATTCCGTTTGCGGGCCTCTGTGATTTTAACGAGCAATTATGAAATATTTCATTTATTTAGGAAGACAAATAAAACGTAATGAGTGAGAAAGCCAAGTGATAATCATAATTGCAAATGTACACACAAATGAAGTCTATTACTGCTTATCGACTTTTCGTGTGCAAAAACGTTACTGACCATCTTCTCGCAGGAATTAAATAATCGAATTTTACTCAATACAAGCAACAACCTTGGCTTCACAAAGAACTCTAACACGGACTTCAGTGTACTAAAGGAACTAAAGACTAAATTACCTCACAAATAAAGTGGACCATCCTCAGCAAATTGACTCGTTTTTTCTGCATTTGCCATGACCCTGAGTTGCTTGAAGGGCATTTGCTCGCACAACGTTCCTCAAGCGTGTCTCTCGCTAGCCTGCTACGCTGACGCTCTTTGGGCTTCGTCACACAATATTGCTCACTCACTTGAATCTCGTTCCCAGAGCCTTCGTTACCCTTGTCCAGCTTTTTCCCGTTCCGCTGGACAAGGATAACGACGGCTCTGGGAACGAGATTGCACTCACTTGAGGGAGGATGATTGTAGTCTAGGTTAGTCTCTCGTTACTTACTTTTCGCGGACAAAACCAAAGGTACTTCTTGTTCTTCCGTGGATTATAAGTCATAGTCCAACTTTTCCACCTCTTTGTATGCAACAGAAAACCTTTTCCAATTCTATAACCTCGGCACGCGGCTTGATGAAGGAAATTTTGTCACGTGCGACGAATCTTGAATAAACTAATTTTGCACAAAAAGTGTTGTGACTGGCCAGTGCAAATTATGAAAGAAGCGCGGGTATTTGTTTGAATTGCAAAAAAATATTATTTTGTCAATAACCGGGCTACATCTACTGAGAACATTTTATCCATTCGTCTTCAGATAACGAAACAAGGGCTAAACATCACCGAAACGAAGGCGGACAATATCTTATTACGCAATTTCCTACTAAGGGGACTGGAGAGGGCTGCAGGAGAGAAGCTAGCGGAGAAAGATTAATGCAGTTTCTTCCTTTTTCCTTAAATTCTTCGTTCCTCCCCTCCCACTTTACCTTCAAAAAGCATGATACTAAGCCTATAATTTTCTGCGCTATAAAGTAAAAACCCGCGTGTAAGAACCTACATTTTTTGAAATCTGACAAAATAGGTTCTTGTAATGTGGTGTAGTCATTGGCAATTTAAGCTAAGTAGGTTATTACTTAGCTTCTTAATTTCTACGAAGGAGATAAAGTAGTTGATTACCAGAAAAATAAATAAACTTGGGTTTGGTCCTCAAATATACAGTATTTTGTCACAACTGTATTATGTAATTTCTTGTAATACAAAGTTGCAATCTCAAAGTCATACTCCTTGGTTAAAATTTTTATCATAATTTAGCTGCAACCCACGTAAAAGAACTTGCTTGATCTTGCTTGGCTAAGCAGGGTCTTACATTTTTGGGTATTAAATGGCAAATGTTGGCCAGCAGGTTCTTAAACCACTAGGTTCTTGCTTGCGGATTTTTACTCCATATGATCGCCTGGACCCTATTGTAGGAAATGTTCTGTACTTGAAATCATAAGAGGATAATTGAAGAGACTTTGTACCTTAAAATGTCAGTTTCATATTGCTCAAGTTGGGATATTGATAACAAAACCTCACTTGGAAGGATTTTAAGATATGAGTTGACACAAGAGACTATCGATCTCGATCAAAGTCACATGAACAAGGATTTTGTTTTACTTCAATAACAGTTGGTCATGAAACGTCCAGCTACAACTCGAGAATTGTTACGGAATCTACGTGTCGGGTATAGTAGATATTGAAACACATATTCCTGCCACAGGAGCTTACTTATACTTTGCACGTATACGCGTTAAAGTTATTTTGGCAATAAACTATTCTAACTATTTGAGTCAACCACCCCGACCTAAATGTCACCAAAAGGCGGGCTTGGTTATTTCTTAGCGGCATGACAGCACGAGGCCTTTGTGTCCTTCTCTGCGATACCGAAAGGTAAAAGATTGCGGAAAATTAATTTTGGTAACATATTCATAAAGGCAACAGTGAGCATATGGTTTGATTTAAAACGAAGACTGATATGAAGATTTATTGATACTCAGTAGGACTCCCGCCTACATTCGACAATTAATATTTAGCTCTTATTAACCGAGCTAAGTCGGTCTGTATGGGAGAATCTTGACCGAGGTCGTGAGTACAGACCGAACGGAGTGAGGTCTGTACACACGACCGAGGTCAAGATTCTCCCATACAGACCGACT